CTTCATTTACCTGTCAGAGCACTCTAATTGGAATATTCTAGTTTAGGGCCCCCACCCACTGCACAGGGGTGGGGACCAGGGTGGAGGACATTAGGTCCCCCCCAATTTGTATTTAGGGCCCCCACCCACCGCTCAGGGGTGGGGGCCAGGGGGGAGGACATTAGGTCCCCCCTTATTCTTGTTTAGGGCCCCCACCCACCGCTCAGGGGTGGGGGCCAGTGGGGAGTACATTAGGTCCCCCCTTATTTTGTTTAGGGCCCCCACCCACTGCTTAGGGGTGGGGGCCAAGGGGGAGGACATTAGGTCCCCCCTTAATTTTTATTTAGGGCCCCCACCCACCGCTCAGGGGTGGGGGCTGGTGGGGAGGACAATAGGTCCTCCCCCCTTTTTTTACTTTAGGGCCCCCACCCGCCGCTCAGGGGTGGGGGCCGGGGGGGCAATAGGTCCCCCTTTAGTTTAAAAGCCCCCACCGGTATACCGAGTTGGGGCATAATTTACTAATACTACTCTTTACTTAGTATTAGTAAATTTGGCTGAAAGACGAATTTAGGTCTTTCAGCCTTTTAGTAGATAACTCCCTAATACCGTGGAAATTAGGGAGTTATCTACTTATTCATTCCTGTCATTACATGACTGGCTAAGTAACTTACATTTTATATGAATGTATGTTACTTGATTGTTGTAAGTGTTGCAAATGCTTACAGGTGAATCCTGTCTACGTTTGTATACTTTTTATTTGAAATTGTATACAGTGTAACATTCTTCTTCTTTCACTGGGTAAGTATAGTATTTAGGCAATACTGTGCTTTGGAACTTCGGAACTTCGGCACATTGACACCTCGGAACTTTGGCACTTCAGCAATTCGGCACTTCGGCACTACTACACTTCGGAAATTTGGTAATTTCAGCACTTCGGCAATTCGGCAATTCAGCTATACGGACATTTGGAAGCATCCGAATGTCCGAATTACCTGAAATTCGGACGAATTTTAATTCGGACCGAAACGAATTGCACATGTCTAGTACTAAAACAAAATGTTCCTGTAAGACATAATAGACAGATTAAAATACCATTCAGTCTTGGACTCTTCTTAGGACTCTTCCTTAAGGTCTTCTTCACCCTGTGGTGTGTTCTCAAACTCTTCCTCAACTTCTGACATACTTTCAGGTAATTCTTTTAACTGTTCTTCATTCGATGATACTTGTTCCACCTGTTCATAATGTGGATAATGATTAAAGAGTAACACTAAGCATTATCATTTTTAAGTTGCTGTAGTGGTTATATTACCTAGCGTGTCCTAGTATTGTCTTCTGGTCTAATGTCAAACAATTTATCAATGGTTTGACTTCAACTGGGATCTTTCCAGCTCTTGGTTATCACCCCTTCTACAGCCGCCTTGATAATGCAATATTAACAATTCTACATTGTAAATATCTCTGATATCCAGTCTAGAGGCCATTAAAGGAACACTATAGTCACCTAAATTACTTTAGCTAAATAAAGCAGTTTTAGTGTATAGATCATTCCCCTGCAATTTCACTGCTCAATTCACTGTCATTTAGGAGTTAAATCACTTTGTTTCTGTTTATGCAGCCCAAGTCACACCTCCCCTGGCTATGATTGATGGAGCCTGCATGAAAAAAAACAACTGGTTTCACTTTCAAACAGATGTAATTTACCTTAAATAATTGTATCTCAATCTCTAAATTGAACTTTAATCACATACGGGAGGCTCTTGCAGGGTCTAGCAAGCTGTTAAAATAGCAGGGGATAAGAAAATCTTAATTAAACAGAACTTGCAATAAAGAAAGCAAAAATAGGGCTCTCTTTACAGGAAGTGTTTATGGAATGCTGTGCAAGTCACATGCAGGGAGGTGTGACTAGGGTTCATAAACAAAGGGATTTAAATCCTAAATGGCAGAGGATTGAGCAGTGAGGCTGCAGGGGCATGTTCTATACACCAAAACTGCTTCATTAAGCTAAAGTTATTCAGGTGACTATAGTGTCCCCTTAAGTGGCTTAGAGTGTTGAGTAACATGCCCCCAGCACTCTCAGCCAATCACTGCGAGTTAGGTTGTACTCAATAGATAATGATAATAGAAATATTGGTGGCCTAGGACAGGTGGTCTGTGGGTGCTTTGGAAAGTTCAGTTTTTTGTCAAACCACTTAACAAAGAGGTGGCAAAGAAATGTGGCAAGGCACCCAGAGTGTACAGCTACACTGATCTGCAATGGTCAATAAGGCATGACGAACGCTCCATTAATGATGATGTTTGTGTTACTGCATAAAGGGAGTGAAACAACATAAAAAGTCAGTATATTTTGTAGTATTACCTGAGCCAGGATGTGTGAATGTTGTCGCTAATGACCACATGAAGGTAGAGAAGGTGACAACTCAACCTCTGCATTTGGCCAGGGACTTGGTATTGAATAGAAGGTCGTAGAACTGCTTTCATAAGAAATAAATAGATATATTTAATCTGGTTGTATTGTTAAATTATGTCAGATTATCATCTTCATTATCATCATCATTATCATCAGCTTTATTAGGTCATCACTAGTCAGTACAGAACAGGACTTCCGTAAATTTTTATTTAATTAAATTGTATGTGCAAAACATGATATAACTGATGTAATTTCTAAGTAGCACAGACTGTTTTTTAATAACTGTATTTTATAACAATAATAATAATAAAAATAAAAAAAAGAACAGGACTTCCATATGGCTAATGGGAATTCTGTGCAAATTTTGTATCTGGACAGACAGCTTATTGCAGCACGGCCCCCTCCCTTCCAAGCCCTGAGTGGAAGTGACATCAGCTGAGGAGGATTGGACTGACGGACAGCTTGAGAGTTTTGGCAATATTCTTTTTTATTTTGGTGGCGGAAACCAGCAGAGCAAGGATCACTCTAACCTTTGGCTGAAGTAACTTCTGCAGAGGATGAATTCCACAAATATATGGCAACATGTCAACATGACTTGTCACAAGTATAAATTGGAGATAATTTTATCATATCGTATTGATATTTGATATACATTATACAGCAGCAAAGAAAACATGTATTCTCTCCCCGTTCTCCCTATATTACTTGTGTTCTATCAGACAGACTATAGAGATGGACTTATTACATAAATCAAATGTGATGAAGAAGAAAACTTAGAGGTTCTAGGGCCTGATGATATTGGGGAGAAAGATTCAAAATGAATATCCAGATGATGATGATTCTAGACCCTGTAATTTCTCCACTGATAATGAAGCAGCAGCAGTATAATAAGTCTCTGATGTAGATGTTTCATCTGTAAATAGTGTGACAGAACATAATATAAGTATTGGACATGATGAACAAAGATCAATAATATTCTAAATATCAGACTAGATCTATGTGAACATTAATTGTATAAATTAATCATTAAATTATTATTTTTACAATAATGTGTATAAAGAAATGAAGTCAATCACAGCAGTTTGAAAGGGGACACAATGCCATAAATTCAATCTAAATGAGTGGTGCGCTTAAAACAGTGCTCCTCAACCCTCTCCTCAAGGCAAACCTAACAGTCCAGGATTTAGGGATTACCAAGGTGTGTTTAGATGTTTAGAAAAAAACTAAAAAACTAAAGCACCTTAGACTTTGAAAAAAAGAGCCCTGAGACACAATGCCATCCACGAGTTAAACTGAAAAACAAAATATTTAATTTTTGTGACACTTAAATAGAATTTGCATAATGCCATTTAGTGTCTCCACCCTCTGCAAGGAGACACTGAAATTTCCACATAGAGCTGCATCAATTCAATGCATTTCTATGAGGAGATGCTGATTGGCCAGGGCTGTGTTTGGCTTGTGCTGGGTCTGCCCCTGATTTGCCTCTTTGGCAATCTTAGCCAACCCCATGCGTTCCTATGGAAAAGTATTGTGATTGGCACAGATCAACACTTCTGATGATGTCAACCAAGGAGTCAGATCAGGGGCAGAGCCAGCAACAGCAGACTGAAATAAAGTTAAGATTTTGCTATATTTAGTGGGGTAAGGGGAGCGACTAGGACTAGATGGTGTTTTAACACTTTGAGGTCAAGAATACATTTTTGTATTCCTGACCCTATAGTGTTTCTTTAATTGCATATGAAGAAGTAGTTGTATAGATCAGGATGTTGCAGTGGATGTGATCTACTTGGATTTTGCCAAGGTGGTTGATATGGTTCCACACAATAGCTTAGTGTTCAAACTAAAAGAAATTGGTCTATATTAAAATTATTGTTCTTGGGTAGAAAATGGTAAATTTTAAAGCAGGACAAAAGTGGTAAGTGATGTCCCTCAGGGTTCTGTTCTGAAAATGCTTATTTTTAACATATTTATAAATGATCTTGAAATAGGCATTGAAAGTTATGTTTCGGTATTAGCTGATGACACAAAACTCTGTAAATTAATACAATGTGAAGAGGATATTACTTCAGAGGGTTTTAGATAGATTGGGGGACTGGACCCTCAAATGGCAGTTTAAATTTAATGTATATACATGCAAAGTTATGAACTTCAGGGTAGTAAACAGTAGTGCATTAGGGATAACACACAAGAATAATTTGGGAGTTGTTTTAGACAATAAACTTGGGAACAATGTGCAATGTCAATCAGCAGTTGCTAAGGCCAGTAAGGTATTTTCATGTATAAAAAGGGGCATTAATTATCAGGATGAAAATATAATTTTACCTGTTTATAAATCACTGGTAAGACCACACCTCGAATATGCTGTGCAATTTTGGGCATCCGTTCTGAAGAAGGATATTATGGCACTTGAAAAAGTGAAGAGGCGGGCTGCAAAATTAATAAAAGGAATGGAACATATCAGCTATGAAGAAAGGTTAACAAATATAAATCTCTTTAGTTGAGAAAAATGGCACCTTTAAAGGTGATATGATAGCATTATACAAATATAGTCAGGGCCAATACAAACTATTGTCTGGAAATCTATTCATAAACAGGACTATACAGAGGACACAAGGTCACGCAATAGACTGGAAGAAAGTCGATTTAGTCTAAGGCAAAGGAAAGGGATTCTACAGTAAGAACAATAAGGATGTGAAATTCTCTGCCTGGAGATTTGGTTTTATCAGTCTGTACAGATGTTTAAACACAATCTGGTCATGCCTTCTCCATGATGTTGCAAGAAACCGAGAAGTAAGCAGCACCAAGGAAGACTTGCCACTGGAAAAACAAAAGTAACAAGCATATTTGTGTTCTAATGGGAGATAGGGACCTGTATTAACCCCTTAAGGACACATGACAGAAATATTCCGTCATGATTCCCTTTTATTTCTGAAGTTTTGTCCTTCAGGGGTTAAACTAGGGACAGGGACGTAAAAGCATTTAGAATATAGGATTGCATTCCAGGCATTAAGAATATAGGATTAATAAAAGAGAAAATAATGGCTATAGAGCTGGAGACAATCCAGTCCTAGAGCCAAAAGAGGACTAAATGGGCAAAAGAAATGGCCTAACCCAACAGAGAATTATAATAGAAAAAATCCCAAAAACTTAGGGTGTGTGGAAAGAATTATAATTTATAGCCTCTATACGTTTTTCAATAAAGTATTTTTTATTTTTATCTTACTACTCCTTTGATCTTTGTTACACACCAGGGGATTCTATACCCCCAATGTGGGCATACCCTTAGCCGAGGGTGTTGTGGTAGATGGACTTGGGTTCTTCTTTCCACACACCCTAAGTTTTTGGGATTTTTTCTATAAGAATATAGGATTGTATTCCTAACGTTTAAGTGTTGCCTTAAGTCATTTTCCTACTATTTCTATCTCAATATTCATGTTCTATCAAGTCCATATATGTCTTGTTTGCTGTCTATGTATCTAGTCTAACCAGGACTGGCCAAAGAACCCTACTTGTCCAAGTTTCTCAAGGGCATACAAAAAGCACATCTTCTTCCAAACCACAAATAAAACCTTCCAGGAGCAACATTTTTATTGGCATGTCACATTAGCCAAAGTATGCTAAAGTTATATACAACAACCATCTGGTAAAACGTGTATTTTATAGAACTAATACTTGAGCAAAATGCGATAAAAGGCTATCTCCAAAAGCTATTTATTCAAATTAAACACAAACAATTATGTTTCTTAACTCAATGTGTGAAAAAACAGCTGATGAGATAATATTTTGTCTGCTCTGCTATGTTACTGCTCGCCTGAGAATCTTCTGTGCCATCTTACTGCTTATATAGTCAGCTGCACCGTGGCTGCTATGGGATATGTTCAGGACTCTTAATAAAAACAATTGAAAGTATAGATTGTTTGATATATGATTTATATTAGCTAGGTACCAAAAAGATTGTAATGATTATGGATTAAAACTTTATATATCCTTTACGAGACCTGTGAGTGACCATACTCTGTTCTTTGGATTGAATAGTACCCTGCATGATGGAGCAACTGGGCATCAGTAAGAGTTAGTATCTACTAAACAGTGAAATATTTACGGGAGAGTGAGTGCCATCATATCTTTGGTTTCATATCTATCTATCTATCTATCTATCTATCTATCTATCTATCTATCTATTCTTAGAAGAAGAGATCACACAAGAAACAGGAACACAGATAACTTGTTTAACTTTTATTGGGCTAGGGGGTAGGCCATGATGTTTATTAAAATGTAATTAAAGGGAACTGTAGCGGAACCCCCCGCTAAACTGTGAATTGCCCCGGTTACCCTGCAATGTGTGTTACTGTACTGACATCCCTTTCATGTGTTTCCCCTAGCTTGACCCTGTGTTTCGTCCCTTATGTTTTGTAGAACTGTAGAACTGCCTACTTCCCATTCGGGATTACCGACACGAATGGGACCCCATTCATCTCCCGAATGGGGACCACCACAAAATCTCATTTAGAATGTGGTTTTAGAACATTCGCACCTTGTAATGAGGTGACAAAACCACAAACCGCAATGGAAGCCTTGGTGCGTGCCGACCCTGGGTGGCGGCCCGTTCGTTAGAAGAACACCATCCAGGGGGACCATTCGTGGACTGCTTCCCACCTCATTCGGTTCTCGAACCTCCTCGGCACCCATTAGAATGTTCACACCAATCAATTGGAACATTGGCAACTCGCAACATGTGTGAAACTGCAAGGGAAGTAATTAATGAGTGCTGCTCTGGGTGACCGGGAGCATTCACATCCCGATAGACGCTTCCCATGCCGGGCTTTACACAGGGACCCCGCAAACTAAGACTGTTTGTGGCAGTTACCGTTCTGGGGGTCCCTGAGATTGGTGGGGACATTTTGTGGAAACAATGGCGGAGGTTGGAAGGCTCTCTGTCTGTGGGAGGTAAAAGAGGCGGGAAGTTTCCCATGCTACGACCCCCCAGATACAGAGACCTCTGGGAAAAAGACTCCTGGGAGAGGGAGGACACTAAGTGACAGGAACAAGGGACAAAGGGACTGGAGTTCCGTTTCCGTCAGGGGACCCCTGGGAAGGGACACTGAGTGGCGGGAACAGGGGACAAAGGGACTGGGGTTCCAGTTCCGTTAAACGACTTTCGGGCAGGGGAAGACCCTGGGAGGGGACATTGTCTTTATGTGTGTTCCACCCCTTGCATGGGGAAAGTATAAAGCTGCATGTGGCCAATAAAGTAGTTGCTGTACCCCCTGGAACTGTGTGTCGTCCAGTTACTAGGAGGGAAGTGGGTCTGTTCATTTATCAATAGCAGAGGTTACCAGCCGGGTTACCCAGGGTCCGCTACAGGAAATAACCAACCAATTTAATAACAAAGTAACCACACATAACATTTTAATTTATTCTTTAACCTAACTTTATTAAAGCAAGACAAAATATCAGTCAATCACATGTAACCTGACCACCTTTAATACCATTCTCCATTAAGTCAATCCAATATTATTAACCATGAGGATGATATTGCCTCTAAATTCCACAACAATGATAATACAGTAGCAGTCTCATATTGTGCACATGTTAGAGAGCCCTATAATCCATACTTTCTTGCCATTTTCAGCTCCGAGCATTCTTGCCCAATCCCATTCCCCTAGTAACAGTCTTGCCATCCACTTTGTCTAAATACTAGATTTAGTCTGCCCAAAGACATACACTTATTCTGCCCAGAGACCTAAACTTCCGACTTCACTTAGTGATGACCAACCGCAATCACCATACATATGCTGTCACAAAGCTTAGTGCCTATGTCATTTCAGACACATTACTGTGAGTTTTATTGCTGTGGAGCTTTGTTATACACTCTGACATCTTAATAATATGGAGCTCCTAGAAAATAGAGACATTAGGATAGAAAAGAAGGACCAACGGATTTGGACCCTTAATAGGGGCTGACACTCCTAAATAGGGACGCTTGGCAGGTATGACGTCTTAACCATTCCAGCGTACTGGGCCTAGAACCTGAATATACAAATATATAAACCTGGCAGAGAAGTAGTGTTTGTTGAACAGAAGTATTAGTTTCTGCTAAATAATACACTAATTGAAAAACGATTAGTACTGATTGAGGACTCATGTTAGGCTTGTTCTCACAAACTTAGTCAAATCATTCCTGTCACAGTACATTTAAACTAAAACAAACAGATAAAAGTAGTCAGAAACTTACTTCAAATAATGAGCTGCTGATGGGAGCAAATAAAACAGCCTAAACTGTGCACCTGCAATCAACAAGACATTTAGAGGTTTAACATTCCAATACAACTTACAAACACTCAAACAGTCATTTTACTAAAGTAAGAATTAAAAGTGGAATTCAATTTAAGGTCAAAATATCGGATCTGCGGCAATTCTCTAAATCAGGTTTATTTTTAGCTCAGTTACTTTAACCTTACATTTAAAGTTTACTTTGAATTCACTATGAATTCTCACTTTGGTGAATAACCTTTTCATTGTTTTGATCAATGAGGTGACTGTACCTAAACTTTATGTGAAGTCTCTATATTTTGTGTGTTTCATTGTAGAATACACTGTGTTTATGTATATAATTTAGAGATTTAAGCTATGTTTTACATATGTGCAGAATGGTTCACATTAAATAACGGAACGCGGCAAGGCTGTCCTTTGTCGCCTATTCTGTACGTTATGACAATGGAGATCCTTGCTATTAATATTAGAAATAATTCCTGAATAAAAGGTTTTAGGTATAAGGACAAAGAATTCAAACTTAACTTATATGCTGATGATTTAATTATAACCCTAACCAAATCCTTGGCTGCCTTAACGGAAGAAGTGAACAAATACAGTTCAATGTCAAATTATAAAATCAATGTAACTAAATCAACCTTCTTAGCTATCAACATTTCAAGGGCTTGTAGACTCCATATAAAGGAACATTATAACTTTAATTGGGATAAAAATCAATTGTCATACTTGGGAATAATAATTACTGATGATTTAACTGATACGACGCAAATGAATTATCTAAATATGTATAGATTAACCCACGAGTCTTTAAAAAAATGGAGACAGGTTGAATTATCTTGGTAGGGAAGAATTAACTTCATCAATTCCTATTTACTCCCCAAATGGTCCTACCTCTTCGCATGATCCCTTTTAAGAATGCCCCAACCATGGTTAGCTCTGATACAACAAGATATAAATAATTTCACATGGAAAGGAAAAAGGCCAAGAATTCATAAAAAGCTTCTGATGCAAAAGAGTAGGAATGGAGGTATAAATTTTCCAAATGTGAACCTTACCTATTTAGCTAATATGATGTTTCATATCTATGAGACGCAACTCCCAAGCTCTGAGGAAGAGGGTTGGTATCAATTAGAAATGGAGATGTCCGAAACGGATAAATTGCATCTATTGAAGACTAATCGAGACGAGATGATTAAGAAAGTCTGTTCTTTAAATAATTGTTTGAAATCAATCTTCTTGGAATGGGAAAGGTTGAGGATTAGCAGCGTAATTGGCAATAAAATACTGGGAGATTCTAATTTTAGTTTTATACAGGTACAGAGGAAGGATATAAATACGAATGAGTGGACAAGGAAAGGCACAAATCATATTAACTAAATAATACTAGGAGATAAGATCAGGCCGTTTGAAAGGCTGATACAATAATTTTCGCTACCTAGGATGGAGTGGTATAATTAACTAAGGATCAGAGGTTTCATCAAACAATTTCTGTTAGTTTGACCTATAGCGGGTTTAGAAAAATTGACTGCTCTATTAAACAATGAAAAAAGTGTCTCAAATAGCCTCAAAAGCAAGATGTGCTCTTCTGCAGATTAAAGCACCAATTATGAATGTAAATATGCAGAAGTGGAAAAAAGAGCTAAACACACAGATTTTTAAGACAGAATGGGATCAAGTGTTAACACTAACTAGTAAAGCTATCCACTGTCTGAGTATTCTGGAGGTACTGTTTAAATTGATGAATCGCTGGTATTTAGTCCCCACCAGATTGATGGGGACTAAATGTACACCTCCAATTCTCCAACGTATTGGAGATGTAGTGAGACGGAAGGGACTTTTGGCCATATCTGGTGGGAATGTGGTAAGGTGAAAAGGTTGTGGTACATGGCCTTTGAGGCACTGGAATACATAACAGAGAGAAGTATCCCTAGAGGTAATAATGACTTGTTCCATCTCAATCTACAATCACTTCATTTTAAAGATAGATTCATATATGTCCACTTTGTGGCGGCAGTAAAAATAATAGCTAGGAGTTGGAAGAGCAGCGAGAATTTTACATAGACCCAATTGTATTCACAAGTTCAGTATCAATTAATTATGGAGGCCTTAGGATACCAGTCAAATAAAATCAGATATCAGTAAAGTCTTTGTGATAACATTTCTGTTTAAAAGTGAAATGACTTGGATTATCTATTATTGAGAATTGTGTAATATAAATATTTATATACGATGTGTATTATGAAGAAAATGGTGACTTTCACTGTAGATGGAAATTATTTTTTATGTGTCGAATTGAAAGATAAAATAAATTATAAAAAAAAAAAAAAATTACTTTGAATCCACTATGAATTCTTACTTTGGTGAATAACCTTTTCATTGTTTTGATCAATGAGGTGACTGTACCTAAACTTTATGTGAAGTCTCTATATTTTGTGTGTTTCATTGTAGAATACACTGTGTTTATGTATATAATTTAGGGATTTAAGCTGGGTTTTTTTTTTTGTTTCTTAAAATGTTTACACAACACACATATCTATAATTGCACTTCATTTTTCTTGGTTTTGCTCTGCTACACAATTTGTGCCACAATTTGTCTCTACAAAATCTGACATTTCTAAGAAGACTTTGCACATTTCAAAAAACATTTTTGCAATCTTAACAACATACACTTTTCTTGTTTGCCTTCATACTGCCACAGACGCTAACCACATACCGTCAAAACAATTATTACACAGAATTAACATTAAACCTCCCATTGGTTGATACCACAAACAAGTAGGTCAATGACGTACAGATATGCTGACATGTAAGCAGACAGGCTGATTTTGTTTGTCTACAGCTATGTTTAAGAAATTTAAATGTATCGAATTCCATGATTTTTCTCAAACTCTGACCATTTAACCTAAATTTACCAAGTTCCATTTTTAACACCATTGTTGAATAAGGTTCAATGCGCTTTATGATGTTATTCGATTCGTAGATTTAGTTTAAAATACATTTAATCACAACATTGATACAACTGTTGCAAAGAAACAGAAACGACAGTTACTTTTAATTAAATGAATTGCATTTTGACCTAAATATGATTATTTCCTTTTTTTTTTTTACATTATACTTCTGAAATTTTTATATTTTAGTAGCATTCACTCCATTTTTTATCAAATTGTGCATTTTCCCTGAAACTGCTATGTTTACAGCAGGCAGGGTTAATCCTAGATGGACCTGGCACCCAGACCACTTCATTAAGCTGAAGTGGTCTGGGTGCCTATAGTGGTCCTTTAACATAAAACAGTGAAAATCAGTTAGAATTGTGTTTAACTTTTTTTTGCGTGATGCTGTTTTCTTCTTTTATATGTTTATTAAAGATTTAGCAGTTGCCATCCTAATCCTGTTTCATGGCACAGAATGGGCACACATTGAACTGGAGTAGGAGAAAGATAAACATCTCTGTTCTGACAAATACGTAGAAAGGACAGAGCTTATAAGAATTACTGATAGAGCCAAAATGGAGGCACTCAGTGCCAAGATAGAGGTAAATACATCAGCGTTGATTTCTACATTTAATTAAAAAAACATTTCACACCCTACAAACTCATATTTGTTAAATAAAGGACATAAGTAAACATAAAATAAAAAATTTCAGAACATGATGGTTATTCTTTAAGAAATATTCTGTCAATAAACAAATACAGCTGATGATTACATTTTTGGAAATAAGTATATTTCCCTTCAAGCCTCAGTTAAAGGGAAACATAGCTTTTTTTGCTGTTGTTGTAGTGTCGATGGTTGTCTGCTTAGTTTGCTTTAAAGCACATGTGAGATCTTTGTACAACCTAATAACTAATAAAACTTTTTTGGGAGTAAACAAAATATTCAAGAGTGTAATTAATATGTATATGAACGTAAATTGCTGATCCTAAAAGACATCAGATTGCTGTTATGGAGTCAATACATTTCTCCCCCTTTTTAGGCATAATTAGCCATTGCTTCAAATTGTTTAGTTTTTCTTTAATTTGGCTCAATGGCATAAAAAGATGTATTTTAAAGGTTGAACACCATGGATGAATCTTTTTCAACCCAGATTACTATGTAAACAAAAGAACAGGTAGCGCCAAAATTAGACAGCAAATGCAAAAAAAAAAATACAAAATCCAAAAAGTCTCTTGAGATACAGTAACAGAAAGTCTATGCTAAAGTCCAAAGAAATACCAGTAGATAAGATACAATCTTAAAATAGGAGGTAATCCACCTTTAAATTTTCTTAAAATGCTTGGGGGACAATTCCGTTCAGTAGCAGCATATGGGAAAAACATAAAACAGAGACACCAGTAGTACAATTTGATAAAAAATAGAGTGAGTGCTACTAAAATATAAAAATGCCAACTCACATGTAATAGAGCTATAACTAGCTCTGGGATAAAACAGCATGCAGTGGTATTGTATCCCACTTGCAGGATATTTTCAGGTAGTGGTTGGCACCAGGATAATGATATGATGAAGCCTAAAAAGTAAGAAGAAGAAAGGCCAATAGTGTACTCTACTAATGTAGGTTTACACGCAGAAGCAAAGAAATATACAAGATATAATCCCCACCAAGGATTCTTTTGTTGGCTCAGTAGAGAAGTAGGATGCCAGGTAGTAAATACAAATTAAAATATACAGCTAAAAGGTGCATGGCTTTCAACAAACGGTAAGGTAGCCAAAAATACTTTATTAAACATGAAATTGTATAAGACCACAACACATTTTTGCCTTTCTGGGGGCTTTTTCAAGTGGATAAAAAAATGGAATTGTCCCCCAAGCATTTTAAGAATATTTGGAGATGGATTACTTCCTATCTTAAGATTGTATCTTATCTACTGGTATTTCTTTGGACTTTATCATAGACTTTCTGTTACTGTATCTCAAGAGACTTATTGGAGTTCGTATTTGTTTTTTGCATTTACTGTCTAATTTTGGCATTACCTGTTCCTTTGTTTACATGGTAATCTGGGTTGAAAAAGATTCCTCCATGGTGTTCAAAATTTAAAATACATCTTTTTATGCTATTGAGCCAAATTACTATGTAACTATGAGTGCTTTTTTCAAGCTGTTTTTAATTTTTTAATTTACAATATAAATGTATCCTCTCAGATTTAGAACCCCCACATGCTGAAAGACATGACTTGGTGGGCATAATGCCTGAACGTGCATGACCAGGCATGGGAGTTCTTCAGTGGTAAGTTGGTTCTAGATTTATCCCTCCTATACTACTATTCACCCCAGAAAGTTCTCCTGAGGCATTTATGAGATGAAGGAATAACAATTGTTACTTAAGTACCCAATGCCATTTTAATGCTATATATGAATATATATATATATATATATATATATGTATTAAGGCCATTTGGCCTGTATTTGTGGGAGGGGCTTAAATTAATTCACTCCCCTATATAAGGGACACCCCTTACCTGACTCATATCGCTTGAGGTCAGCATCAGAATGACCCTCCCACCCACTCCTCATTTCAACACTTTCTCTTTTCTTTCCATTTACTTTACTTTCTTACTCCTTGGTGGGCCCTCTTTATTTACAGGCCTACCGTATCGTCGGTATCGGCACACCACAACGGACTTGCTCCCTTTATACTATCCTACGCTTATGCTGGATCCTTACTCTATATACGGCTATTTGCCCCTTACACAAATATATTTATATAGTTAATACATTGCTAAACACAAATACACACACCAGTCAAGCCATAAGACTTGCTTTTCCCACAGAAATCTCCCTTTAACAGTGCTCTCACTACTGCAAGGGATTTTGGGTAGGTGTATGCATATGAGCTCAACAAAGAACCACATTTTTGCCTAATAATTCCACTTTATACATGGATGCCTTGGAGTGTGTGTCTGCTGTGTGTATATATATATATATATATATATATATATATATATATATATTGTTTATATTTGCATATTACAACAAACAGACAACATATGTTATTTGAAAATCAGTTATATCAATTAAATATATATCATGTTGAACGATATGTGTTAATTACTTCTGCCACTTCAAGCTGCGATTGAAGGTTTCACACTTTTCAATAACTACCTGATTATCTTCTTT